TGGAGCCTCCCAGTGCCTGTCCTGTCCCCCCAGCCTCGTAGCACGGGCCACAGGAGACCCACCTCCTAGGCCAGGCCTCCTGCCCTGCAGCCGGGGAGAGTGCTGCATGCCCAGGCGGTGATCTCTCTCCCCAGAGCTGCCACGCTGCCCACCCCCCTTCCAAAGAGACCTGGAGCCAGCCCCCCGGCTGCACCCCCAGGGGGCACTGGGCAGGATGACAGCCTGGAAAACAGCCCAAGGAAACACCGTGTCAGGGCTCCTGTGCCCAGGTGTGCCAGCCCCTGCCAGCAGCGTCCGAGACCTGCCCAGCTGCTGGGCATCCTGTGGTAAATGACTCCTGCTAGGTAACACTGGGCAAAGAGGTGTCCCCTGGTGGGTGCTGGCGGTGCTATGGGCAGAGGGGCTGGGCGGGGGGGGGGAGGGGCACATGTCCCTGCCCAGCTCGTTAGTGGGTCTAACAAAGTCAGGCGGCGTCAGAGCATGGCCCCACACCCATCATGGCCCGGAGCTGGGATCCAGCACAGCCCGGTGTGCCGTTAACCCAGTCATGCCACGCCGCACTCCTCGTGCCCAGCTCTAACCGCCAGATGGCACCGTCAGGCCCCTGCACTACGGTGTGTCCGTCCAGGGCAATGCCCCGTGGGGTGGAGATGTACCCCCAAGCAGGGCTGGCCTTACCATGAGGCGAACTGAGGCAGCCGCCTCAGGTGCCAGACTGTGGGGGGCGCCACTAGGACCAAGAGTATCGAAAACTGTCTGCTGCTGGTGCATATGTATTCTCTCTGCTCTAGATGCACAGAGATGGTGGAGGGCTGTGCTGGAGTAAGGAGGGCACAAGAGACATAACAGGCAGGCAGGAGAAAAAGGTGAGAGGGAATAACAGAAAGCAGCAGGAGCTGCAGGGAGAGAGAGGAGGAGCAGCCTCTTATGTACCTCTCCAGCACCCCCAGGAGCCTGGACTGATTAACACCAACTTCTCAGGGAGCTTCCTGTTTCCTGCTGCTTCCCTGAACCCACTTGAGGAGAACAGGCAGTCAACTGAAGTAGTAGGAGCCAGTTAGGCCCTTAAGATGCTGATATCTTCCCTCACTCAGGCCCTGCTAACAGCCTGCTTATTTGTCCCCTTCAATTGAGTGTTGAGAGCCACTATGGCTGGCACAGAACCGCAGTCATGAGTGAAAGAAGAAAACGCCCCACTGGGGCAGCATTCAGAAAAAGAAAGAAAGCAAAGGAAGCTTTTCTATCTAAGCAGGAAGGAGCTCTCCTGAGATACATAGACACAAATGTTCACGGTGAGCCTTCCGGCCCCAGTGAGGATGTGAGTGGTGAGGAGATGCCTGATCATAGACTCATAGAATATTAGGGTTGGAAGGGACCTCAGGAAGTCATCTAGTCCAATTCCCTGGACCAATCCTCAGACAGATTTTTACCCCATTCCCTAAATGGCCCCCTCAAGGATTGAACTCACAACCCTGGGTTTAGCAGGCCAATGCTCAAATCACTGAGCTATCCTGATCATCCAGTTAGTCAGAGTGCAGGGGACCTGGCAGCTACTGCAGGATCCATATCTCCATCTCAAATGGATGTAACCATGCACATTCTTGAAGAAAAGCGTAGATCAGAGAAGAGTGTGATGGAGGTGCAAGAAACAGCTGCTGCTGAGTTTAGTTCCTTAAGTCTAGATGATCCAGGACTGTGGACCCACTTGAGCAGTAGCCTGAGGGACTTCCTTGTACTGCATGGGCCACAGCAAGTGAAAAACTTCATGTTCCCCACAGACAATGAAAATAGAAGTTTCCATCCAACACATTACTGGCGTGAAATCCCCAATGGTGACAAAGTGGAGAGGCCATGGCTTATGTACTCAAAAATCCAGAATGCTACATACTGTTTTTGTTGCAAAGTCTTCCAGTCTAATGTTCCAGCCACATTGGGTTCTACAGGAACAAAGGACTGGAAAAATCTGGCTAGAAATCTGGCATGCCATGAGAAGGCAGCAAATCACCAGAGAGCATTCCATAGGTGGAAAGAGCTTGAGATGAGACTAAGGTTAAAGGCCACCATAGATGATCAGCATCAAGAGAAGATTGCATCAGAGTCTCTTTATTGGCAAAACGTTCTGAAAAGGCTCATTGCCATTGTGAGAATGCTTGCTACCCAAAACCTAGCACTGCGTGGCACTTCAGATCAGCTGTATGTGCCAAACAATGGAAACTTCCTTAAAATTGTGGAGCTGATGGCTGAGTTTGATGCTGTACTCCGGGAGCATCTAAGAAGAGTCACCACCCAAGAAATGTCCACACACCACTACCTTGGAAAAACAATTCAAAATGAGATCATACAGTTACTGGCAGCAAAAGTCAAACAGAAGATTGTTGCAGATCTGAAGTCAGCAAGATATTACTCTGTTATTCTGGACTGCACACCTGACATCAGCCATACGGAACAAATGACTTTAATGGTGTGTTTTGTAACAACAACAGAACCTAGTGAAAATGTCCCTGCAGTGGTGACTGTGAGAGCATTTTCTAGAATTTATTGACATTGATGATACTACAGGAGCTGGTATGACAAATGTGCTTCTTAAAAAGCTGGAAGATATGGAAATTGCGATAGCTGACATGAAAGGTCAGGGCTACGATAATGGTGCCAACATGAGAGGAAAGAACAGAGGAGTGCAGACACGGATCCGAGAGTTAAACCCTTGAGCTTTTTTTGTCCCGTGGAGTTCTCATTCATTGAACTTGGTGGTCAGTGATGCAGCATCAGTGTATAGTGAGGCTGCTGAATTTTTTAATGTAATTCAAAGCATCTATGTATTTTTCTCTGCATCAACTCACCGATGGCAAATTTTGAAGCAACATCTGGGAACATCCTCTCTGACACTGAAACCACTGAGTGCCACATGAGTCGAGTGGAGACGATAAAGCCTATCAAACACCAAATTGGGAAGATAGATGATGCCATAGTTGCCATTATGGAGGCTAATGCTGTGACAGGAACCGTTCTTGGGAAAACAGTGGCAGAGGGAATGGAAAGCTGGCTAGATCGTCGGGCTCAATGGGTAGTGATCAATGGCTCCATGTCTAGTTGGCAGCCGGTATCAAGCGGAGTGCCCCAAGAGTCAGTCCTGGGGCCAGTTTTGTTCATGATCATTCCCCTCTATTCGACATTGGTGAGGCCTCATCTGGAGTACTGTGTCCAGTTTTGGGCCCCACACTACAGGAAGGATGTGGAAAAATTGGAAAGAGTCCAGCGGAGGTTTAGGTTGGATATTAGGAAAAACTTTTTCACTAGGAGGGTGGTGAAGCACTGGAATGGGTTACCTAGGGAGGCGGTGGAATCTCCTTCCTTAGAGGTTTTTAAGGTCAGGCTTGACAAAGCCCTGGCTGGGATGATTTAGTTGGGAATTGGTCCTGCTTTGAGCAGGGGGTTGGACTAGATGACCTCCTGAGGTCCCTTCCAACCCTGAGATTCTATGATGAATCACCAGAAACATACATAACTTCAAATTTCTGTGTGGCTTAGTGTTACGGCATGACATACTGTTTGACATAAATGTTGTAAGCAAGAGACTCCAAGGTGTTGACCTTGATATATCTGGAGCAATGGAACAACTGGACAAAGCAAAGTCATACCTACAGTCTTACCGGTCAGATGAGGGATTTCAAAACATTCTGAAGAGTGCACAGAAGTTGGCAGAGGAAATTCACACTGAAGCTATTTTCCCACCCATTCAAGAATACAAGAGTCACCGAAGAAGACATTTTGATTATGAGGCATGGGATAATCCCATAAGAGACCCCAAACAACAATTCAAAGTTTAATTCTTTAACCAGGTGCTAGATTGTGCGATACAGTCAGTTGAAGAACGTTTCATGCAGCTCAAGGAACACAGTAGTATATTTGGGACGTTGTATGATATTCCAAAACTCCTCACTATACCTGAAGAAGACCTACACCAGCAATGCCGGGCACTAGAGACAGTGTTGACACATGATGACATGCGTGATATTGATGCGAGTGATTTAGGTGATGAACTGAAAGCCCTTTCAAGATACATTTCAGCAGGATCAACTCCAAAGGCTGTTCTGGAATATATGTGCACAAATAAGATGACCACTCTCTTTCCAAATGCTTTTGTTGCTCTGCACATACTTCTAAGACTTCCTGTAACAGTTGCCAGTGGAGAACGCAGCTTCTCCAAGCTGAAGTTAATAAAAACACATCTACGCTCCACAATGACACAGGAGAGGCTGGTCGGCCTCGCAACCATCTCAATAGAGCAGGAACTGGCCCAGACTGTGGACCCTCAGGTAGAACAGGAAGAAGGCAGAAATGAGACCTTTCAAAGTTTTGGCCCAAGCGAGGGGGCATGGGGGCGTCATTTGAACTCCCGCCTCAGGTGCCAAAATGTTGTGGGCTGGTCCTGTCCCCGAGAGCCCCCAGTGTCAGGGAGCTGGCACACTGCCCCTACCGCTGGCATAGGGGGCATGTAGGGGGGTGCCCAGAGTGTCCTGCGGCTATTCTGTGCCCTCGGAGGCCACAGAATAAGCCCAAGGGAGGGCAGCCCGCAGGCTGCTGCAACGTGCATGGAGGCCAGGTGGGCGGCAGGGGATTAATGCCCACTTTGGCCCCCTCCCCCCCGAGCCCCAGGCACAGGGGAACAGAGACTTGTGCCCTCCCATGCCAGGAACCCAGACGCCCTGGTGAGGGGCACGGCGCTCAAACCCAGCCTGAAAGGGGTGGGGGCCTGGCTGTGGGGATGTTACCCCGAGTGCCCCAGAAGGGAAGGATTGCCCCCAAACTCTCCAGAAAGCAAAGGCTGGGGGAGCTCCCCCCCATCCCAGGGGTACCCAGAATAGAAACATCCCCCGCCCATCATGCCCGCCTCCAGCTCCTGCCCCAGCACTGGGAGAGCTGCCTGGATCCCCCCGCGGGATCCTTGGGCAATTCTCAGGGCAGAGTTGGGCCCTGGACCACGTGGGGATGCGTCCTACCTTTCCCTGGGGCTTCAGCCCTTCCCAGCTCCTCATGTCCAAGGACGGCGGCACCTGGTAGATGTCCTGGCCCAGCCCCGCAGCTGGGGGCACCTGGTAGATCTCCTGCGGGGGGCTGGTGGAGATGTCCGGGGCGTGGCTCAGCGACGGAGGCACCTGGTAGATGTCCTGGCAGGCGTGGGGCGGTGGCTGCTTTGGATACGTCAGCGGCTGCTTGGCCGGAGGTGAGGGGAAGGGCGCTCCTGGCGCAGAGCCCGGGTAGAGGCCCGGCTGCCCCTTGCTTGGGGCTGGGATCAGGTAGATGCTGTCCCCTGGCGGCCGGGCGGTGGGGTGCAGCGGGTGCTGGTGGGAGGGTGGCTGCCCTTGGCCAGGCCCTGCCTGCTGCTTCTTGTCATACATGCCCACCAAGATCTTCAGGCGGTTGCCGGGCACAATGCCCTGGCGCCCATGCAGCGAGCAGAGCCACCAGCCATCCAGGCCCTGCGTGTTGCGCTCCAGCACTGTCATGATGTCACCCTTGCGGAAGGAGAGCTCATCCGGGGACTCGGACACGTTGTCGTACAGCGCCTTGGCCAGCACGTTCTGGGGGGGGACAGACGAGGGAGGGTGAGTCAGCTGCACGGGAACCCTGCCCTCCTGCCCCTTGGCCGCCCATGCCACCTGCACCGCTCAAGCCCGTCACTGGGGGAGGTGGGTGCGGGGCACCGAGAGACCTTGGCCTTCTCTCCCCCAGCACTGGATGGACTGAGCCTGCCCCTCCCAAAGCAGTGAGGCTGGGAGGGAAGGATCCCCAGCTACAACTTCCCGCCCCAGCGCCTGCAAAGTGGCCACAGTTGCCCACTGCTGCCAGGCTCCCCTGAGAGCTGGAAGGTCCCCGGGGTGACCCCCGCCCTGAGCAATATCCTCGGAGCCCATGCGGCCGGCAAAAGGCCTTTGTGGCAGCCCTTCGCGAGAGGACCCGGCATGGTGACACTGGGTGGCCCAAGAGAACTGCAGGGTCAGCCCACAGCCAGCAGCCCCGGTCCAGAATCCCCTGTGCACACAGTCCAGCCACGCCCCGGCAGGACAGAGACGGGCTAGCGCTCAGGCTGCAGGGCTGCCCCTGTGGATGAGCAACCCTGGTCAGAAACCCACTGGCTGGGCTCCGCCAGCATCTCCCAGCGCCTGCCTGCGTCCCCCACCCTGCCCTGCGCTCTGCTGAACCCCCACCGGGCACGATGCAGCGGGTGCCAGAGATCTGCTGGGAGACAAGCAAGGCGTGTGTCGCGCCTGCCCCTTAACGGGGCACTGCCAGCTTACAAACCACGGTGGTTGGACACCCAGGTCCCATTGACACAGATGCTGTGTCCTCCCCATCCCAGCCCCACCAACTTAGAGCCCCACCCCCAGGGGAATCGGACGTTAAGGGTCAGATCAGAGCCTCACTAGCCATCACGGAGCTAAGCACAGTCATGCCACTGCAGAATCTGGCCTATTGGCTACACAGGAGCTGCGATGATTTGCACCCCGGAGTGCAAACTTTGGGGCACAGCCCATCCCCTGTGGGGGCTGGACAGGGGCAGGCCCACAGTGGGTGCTGCCCTCACCCACAGAACAAACCCAAATCATTAGCCTGGCTGCTGTTGGATTTTTCATCCTCAGCCAGTGCACAGGCGCTGCCCAGACACCTGGAGGGGGAGTCCCCGCCCCAGGGAGCCTACAGTAAGGACCCAAGACAGGCAGAATAGAGGAGGAACATTTTGCAAACAGGGAAACTGAGGCATGAGAGGCTAGGGCCAGCTTTTGCAGCCAGCCTGGCATGGCAGGAGCTTCTGGCAATCTGGCTCGTGCATAGGGGTGGGGATGGGAGCTGGGCGTGTTTCGAACCCCAGCGCAACATGACTTGTCCAGGGTCCTGCATGGAGTCCAAGGCAGATCTGGGCCTGGAAGCCAGGGCCCCACTGCAGTGTTTTATCCCCACTCCCATCCTTACCCATGGGCCACGCTAGCTCAGGGAATGTCCTTGTACCGAAGGGTACCCACGGAAAGGGTCCAAAGAGAGAAAGCAATTTCAAGAGCACAGCCGGTGTGGCCTGCTTGCATGGTTTTACAGCGAGGCGCCTGGTCTTTGGTGATTTCCTTAAAGCCCCAGCTCCTGGAGTCAGGTGAGAATGTGACAACCGCAGCTTGTGCTGGAGAGAACAAGCTTCGCGAGAGGCATAGAGTCACCTGGCGGTGGGGATGGGGATGCCTGGCTGCCCTGTGCCAGGGCTCCTGCAGGGTTGGCAGTGCTCCGGATCAGGCCCCAGGCATAGAGAGCCACCATTTCCTGCTCCCTTCCTGGTCCAGGGGCGCTGATAGTCAATACTCGCCAGCGCTCCTCAGGACCATGACACATTGGTCACGCTTCCAAATATAACCCAGCCCGGCCCAGGGGCTGAGCGACGGAAAGAATCTTTAGCGTTCGGCCACGCACAGTCACTCTGCTCCCAGCCGTTCGCAGGCAGAGACACCGGCTGGGGATTAGTCATCCCCACACCGCACTGCAGGCAGGCACTCAGCTTCCTGGCCAGCCCCTGCTTGCTGCTGCTACAAACGGCGCCTGGCTCGGGGCTGGGATCCAGGCGGGAAGAGGAACGCAAGGCACTGAGCCCATACGCAGCTCCCTCCACATGGCCCCCCGGGGGCACAGCTGCACCTGTCACACGGCCCCTCCACTGCCCTGAGATACAAGGGACTCCCCCCCACACCCCCCTCCCCCCAGACCCAGCTGCCTTCAGACCTCATGGGGTAAAGCCAGAACGACCCGACTGGCTCAAAAGGGGGCACGTCCCATCTGCCCGTCTCACCAAGGGCCACACCTCCATCTGTGATACTGCAAAGCGGACTGTTCCAAGTGGGACTGGGGGGCACCAGCAGAGCTGGGGGCAGGAGCAGAGAGGAGTCTAGGGCTGGGATAGCTGGGGCTGTGGGGCGGTATTGAGGGGCA